TGTGTTAACTTTGTGTTAACCTTGTGTTAACTTTGTGTTAACTTTGTCACCAGTCACATGCTGAAGTGTGCCTGGACAAGACACTGAACCTCTCATTGCCTCCCATGTGTGGCCCATCGGAGTATGAATGTGAGAAAGCTCTGATTATTCTTGTATAGATCTAGTAGAGTGCTGTGTGAATGGGTACATGAGGGCACAGATTGTGTTGTAAAGAGCTTTGAGCATCTTGATAAGATAGAAAGGTGCTACATAAGTACAGTCCCTTTACCATTTACAAATATACCAGTAGATCACAATACATTTACCAACTACTGACCTCATTTCTTCAACAATACATGTTTCACCATAGTTTCAGTGTGTAGGCAATACACACTGATACAGTAGGCCTGATACATTCAAGCCTTCTACAATTTTGCAACTGCATGAGACTTTTTTTTTTTTTTTTTTTAAGTCAGAGGCCGTCAACTTTCAAGCCTTCACTTTTTGAATTGTCATAAATACCAAAAATCTGTTTACGGCTCAGATTAGACAGGTGTGTAGACAGACTGCAGGCAGCAGAGGCTCCACTGAAAGGTCAGACAGCAATTCGGGAAAGGACGCACAAAGCAGGTCGCACTGCTGGTACGAGGCTGGCAATTTTGTCAATTATGAAATAACTACTTTGCTTTCATAAATTTCACTTGAAGCATGCCTGTTCTGACACCCACAAACAGCAGCCTTCTCAAACATAGCAAATGATTCTCAATTGGTGTGACTCACAGGCTAGAATACCATGAAGCCAAAGGAAATGCTCATCCGACATAATTAGTGATTTAAACCATCACCTTGTGAAACTTGCCAGCGTTAATCAGCTTGTTGCTGCCTGTCATTAATGAGTCTGTCTCCCTTTAATGAGCTGTGTGTACCATCCATGCGTCACCATGGCGACTGCAGGCAGACTTTGGACTAGGGGTGACCACCGGTAATCAGAGACGCATGTGGGTAACTGTTCCCCTCACACTGAAATCATACGCTGCTGATCAGCTGCAGCCAAGAGACGCGTCAACCCAATCAATTGAATGAATGCAATTAGTTTTCTCTGTCATCTGTATTCGTAATCATTTAAGAATAGGATACAAAGAAACAAAGTGTCATGATCTGATATTTTGCTTTGAAAATCACAGGTATAACCATGAAGGCACCTGTAGCAGTGGTAAAAGGTTAAAAAAACAGAAACATTAAAACATATTTTCCTGCATCTCTATTGTGCCGGCAGCTTTTAAAATGCCTTGTTCCTGAGTTGTTTTCCAACTTAAAATTAGGTCCCAGAATAATAAATAACTTGGAACAAGACTGGCACGCATCCAAACATCGTAATCCGTCCTAGCGAGGAGAAAATAATTATCAGGTAGGGCGCCTTTCAAACAATTGTTTGTATTATCATTTGTTACACTGACATTATTAAATGTCTATTTTTAAAGTCACAACTACAGCATATGCTTACTAATATAAGCAATTATTTGTGGCTGGACTTCATAAATCACCTAATCCTTATAAAAGATACAACTTTTTTTTGAGTAGGAAACAAGGTTTTGAAAGGCTTGTGGGTTTTAAGGTTTCAAAAAAAAAAGTATGTGCCAAGAGCACAAGACAGAGTTGCTATTGTTAAAGCTGTAAATAAACAATAAAAAAAAACATAATTACACACGTCATTGTTACTTCACTATTACTCAACAGTGTGGAAATTAAAAGTCAACACACTTTGAAGGGAAGCACATTCCCAGCCACCTTTCTTGCAAGAGTTTAAAGTATGTTGACATACAGTATGACAGACTTGGAGCTGTTTTGGGGGAAGTTTTATTAACAGGATCAACTTTACAACACTACAGAGCAAAAGGCTGGCAATCTGTTTCACCTCTGAGCTCGAACCACATCTGTGGAAACCCATTTTGGTAATCCATTATTGTGTCTTTATTAGGCCCGTGTTA